TGCATGAAAAAAAATACCGTCATGTACCGTGAAACCAGTATAATTAAAAAAAAATACCGTGATATACATTTTTTGTCGTACCGCCCAGCTCTAGTAAGCACTCACTTTATTCATATAATTATTTGGTTGTTTGGTTATTTATCTATTATTTTTCCACTTTCTGTTAATTTGGGGTTGTGGAACGGGGTGGGGAAAGAAAATACATAATTGTTTTTTTTTTTATATACATGCTTGAAAAATTAATAAATAAAGTGCAAAAAAAAAACAACTAATAAATAAATCCTGAATCTCACCTGGTGACTCTGTGCAGGAGGAATATGGTCCGTTTGCTCTCAATGGTGACATCTCGACTGATCTTCACCAGACGCTCGTGTTTATCATGCTTGGTGTCGAGCTCTTGCTGGAATACTGTCGAAGTGTGAAAACACAGCAGTAAATGTACAAGATTCATTCATCTGGAGCACAACAACACATGACTGTGGCTCACCTTTGAAAGCAGCGATGACAGGTGAATCCGGATTCATACAGTCCTCTGATTTATATCCAGCTTCTGTCTTTCGTTTTCTGGCACATCCATCGTCTGCGAGGAACATTAAATACATATACATTTACATAAACAAAAGCATAACTCACCATCATCGTAATCTGTGAGCATTAACGTCAAATGAGTTTAAACTGCGATGAAAGATGCTGACTGTCAGGCTTTACCTTCTAGTTTACTCATTTCTATAATAAAGTCTGCTTCACTGGACAGTAAACTGCTTTTATTTTACCAGCTGGTTGTGGTTTTAGTGAGTTTAAATCCAGCTGAACGCCTTCATCAAGGCTTTTCACGTGTCTGTATGATGCCGTACTTCCTCAAATATGAAACATAGAAACAACGTATTTTATAAATGTGTTCTCAATATCGTGTTTTCTTTGTAAAAACGGCGGTTTGCGGGTAATTCGGTTTATTTTGAACACTGGCACGCGAACGGACTTCCATTGTTTACGCGGTACCTGCGCGCCTTAATTGCGTGCCACCGCACGGCATTTTGGGTAACGTAGTTTAGATTGGTCCATTGACTTGCGTCTTAAAATCTCTTTTTTGGTTTCGCCAAAGAAAAAGGGGCGAGTCAGATCAATATTTATATTTTCCTCCTTTCCCGAAGGCTAAAGAGGTTTAGTTTTAATTATTAAAGACATTCATCCGTGTAATGAGTTCCTCGACACATACTTTACTGAAGCTGAACATTTAGCCTATTGGAACATTTATTTTATTCATGCAAATTTTCAAAAATATATATATAAAAAAAA